AAGTGTGGTCAAAATACAGGATTCGCTATTATCCATGATTTTGGGTATTCACAAGGCCCTTGGAATGGATTTCCTGTAGTCATAGTATGCAATTAAAATTCAAAGATTAAAACAATTGCGCTATCGTATAAAATCACTGCTAAAAATTTTAAAATGCAAAGGCTTTTAGAAATGTAATAAGAGTACAGTACACACACAGCCACTTAAAAGGGCTTCCTGCCCAACCAACTCATCTCCAAACCTTTGTTTTAGGTAGCTCTCATTCTCTCTCTTTCTCTTTCCATTGCCTTTTCCTATAAAGAAGAGGAAGCAATGTGAAGATGTTTCCATTTTGGCCACGGTGGTCCACACTCTGGTTACATCCCGTATAGATTACTGCAATGCACTCTACGTGAGGTTGCCTCTGAAGACTGTTTGGAAGCTTAAGCTAGTCCAATGTTTGGCAGCCAAGCTGCTCACAGGAGCGGGGTACAGGGAGCATTCAATTCCCCTGTTACACCAGCTCCACTGGCTGCCTATTAGCTTCTGAGCATAATTCAAAGTGCTGGCCTTGACCTATGAAACCCTAAACGGCTCTGGCCCAGCTTACCTGTCTGAATGTATGTCCCTCTACGAACCCCCAAGGACCTTAAGATCGTCTGGAGAGACCCTGCGCTCGGTCCCGCTGCCATCACAATCACGGTTGGTGGGAATGAGAGACAGGGCCTTCTCGGTGGTGGCCCCTTGGCTGTGGAATGCCCTCCCTAACGAGATTAGATCTGCCCCCTCCGTCATGACTTTCTGGAAAAAGCTTAAACCCTGGTTATGGGATCAAGCATTCGCAGAATATATGGTTTTAACTGACTGTTTTTGTTGATGGCAGTGAAGATGGTTTTAATGGACTGTTGAACTGATGGCTGTGGATTGATTTGGAGGATGACACGAAATGGCAAATTGTTTTATGTATTTACAACTGTTTTTAATGTAGATTAAATGTATTTTATGTTGTGTATTGTTTGGCACCGAATGGTGCCTGCTGGTAGCTGTCCTGAGTCCCTCTTCAGAGGCGAGAAGGGTGGGATAGAAATGCTCTTAATCTATATAAATAAAAATGTAATGTTCGTTTGTGGGATTAACATAACTCAAAAACCACTGGATGAATTGACACCAAATTTGAACACAATACACATATCAGGCCAATGAATGACCATCTCTCATAAAAACACTGAAAAACACAGTGGAAGAGATTTAAAAAGCCAAAAATTAAAAAATACATTACAGTGCATGCACAAAACTATATATGTATGTATGTATGTATGTATGTATGTATGTATGTATATGCAAACACACATATATACACACATAAAACACATATACACAGACTGGGCCACAGCAATGCGTGGCAGGGGACGGCTAGTAAATAATAAATAAATAAATAGAAACTGGATTTCTCGTACTTGAGCACAAGTAGCATGGTGCAAGGGCAGTCCTTGGTGAATCATTGGGACCCTTGGTGCAAAAACCTGCAAACACCCCTCTGCACCTCTTTCTACGGAGTAAGCATCTCTTCAGGAATTGGAAGATTCATTTGGAGCTCTTGGGGTCAGATCGTTTTTCCAGCTGAACCATCAAAGTTATTTTTAGGATGGTTTAAATTGTTTTTGGCTTGTCAGCTTGGCAAGGGCTGTTGAAAATAAACTGGATTTACAATTAAACAAAAAACTAACCTGAGCGTATTACATCAAGGATCTGATTGGAGCCAAAGATTTCAGCTGGGCTTGCAGTTCTGTCGGTAGTCCTCCCTTTGTTCGGCTGGAGACATTGCCAAGGTCACCGTCGCCTTGCCTTCTCCCTGGTTGGGATTTGAGGGGATATATTTTGTACCCCTGATCTGGAAAAATGGTTTCCTTCGAACAAGGACATCATTTTTGTTAATAATTATAGACTTCGAGGCTTTGGAGTTTTTTTTTCTGACCTGTGTGAGTCCAGAACCAAAGTTTCTGCATTGGTGCAGTCATTTCTGGTGTTAATCTCATTTTATTTTACTTGATACTGATCCAGAATTGAATATAACTAAGTTGTGGTTTTGCAAACTCAAAAGAAGAATGGTAAACGGATGTGAAATAAACTAAAATCTAGTGTGCATTGGGGGCTTATGCAGTCGTAACCTAGAGCAGATGAGTTTTACAGTCTTGTTTAGAAAGATTCTTTCCCCTCTGCTTTGCATTTACATCAGTACTGTCTTTTTACGCCAAATAGGAGACATAAAATTAGATCTGTGCTCATTGACTGGGTGGTTGGTTCCTGACCAAGGCTTGATGTTCTTCTTCCTCGTAAATCATGGCAACGGACCAATGTTTTCCATTGCTGCAAGGGTGTGTGTGTGTCTGTCTGTGGTATCGTCATTGCTGATTGTTGATTGCTAATACTATTTTAAAAGATTTCTGCTGACTTTGAAGATCTTTGTAGCCATGATTCAAATGTTAACAAGAAACGCAGTTCAAGATCACAGTTCAAATGCATTAAGTTACCTAGAGGAGATGTTCATCACAGGGTTCCTTCTGTTCCTCATTGCTCTCTAGACAAATGTTGACGTTCCAGAGTCTGGGGACAGAAGGGATGCTAATTGCTTGTTTCCAAAATTTGAGCAGCCTCATTGACATGTTATGGATCTTTTTGCCAATTACAGAAGTCACATAGTGGAATAGGAAAAGATTCATAAGTATTCGCAACCTCTACACTCTGTCTCTTTCTTAACTCCTGTCTCAGAATTGCTTCATGGGTACAAAACAAACATTTTTTGAAATGCCTGTAGAGTATAAATGGCTATAGAAATGCATATTCTAAAGCACAAATAGGGAAACTTTTGTGTTTTATGGGCCACGTTGCCAACTGAGATGGCAAGCTCCAGATCTGGAGCAAGGTAAAGCATAGTTCTTTCAGTATTAATTTTCCTCCTGCCTTGACCCTCGACTCCATCTTTAAGGAGAAATGGGAATGCAAATTGGGTGAATGAGAATAGTTGACATTCAGATTGTTTAAACTAGGGGTCCTCAAACTAAGGCCCGAGGGCTGGATATGGCCCTCCAAGGTCATTTACCTGGCCCTCACTCAGGGTCGACCTAAGTCTGAAATGACTTGAAAGCACACAACACCAACAACAACAACAATAACAACAACAACAACAACAACAACAACAATCGTTATCTCATTAGCCAAAAGCAGGCCCACACTTCCCATTGAAATACTAATAAGTTTATATTTGTTAAAATTGTTCTTCATTTTAATTATTGTATTGTTTTTAAGTGGGTTTTTTTTTTTGCATTACAAATAAGATATGTGCAGTGTGCATAGGAATTCATTCATTTTTGGGATGTATGTTCTAGACAGTGGTTCTCAACCTGGGGTCCCCAGATGTTTTTGGCCTACAACTCCCAGAAATCCCAGCCAGTTTACCAGCTGTTAGGATTTCTGGGAGTTGAAGGCCAAAAACATCTGGGGACCCCAGGTTGAGAACCACTGTTCTAGAGGCATTCTCTCCTGACGTTTCACCTGCATCTATGGCAAGCATCCTCAGAGGTAGTGAGGTCTGTTGGAACTAGGAAAATGGGTTTATATATCTGTGGAATGACCAGGGTGGGGCAAAGAACTCTTGTCTGCTAATGAAGGTGGTCAGTTGAAACATTCACACCTAGCTCCAGCAGAGAAGAGCTCTTTGCCTCACCCCAGTCATTCCACAGATATATAAACCCATTTTCCTAGTTCCAACAGACCTCACTACCTCTGAGGATGCTTGCCATAGATGCAGGCGAAACGTCAGGAGAGAATGCCTCTAGAACATGGCCTTATAGCCCAAAAAAAACCTACATCAACCCAGTGATTCCGGCCATGAAAGCCTTCGACAATAAATTCATTCATGGTTTTTTTTTCAAATTATAATCTGGCCCTCCAACAGTTTGAGGGATTGTGACCTGGCCCTCTGTTTAAAAAGTTTGAGGACGCCTGGTTTAAACCATCCTCCCCATAGACTTCCCGTATAGCTCTTGGGTCATTTATTGGACACTCATCATACTATATCAGCATAACAATGGAGGATTTTACACTAAACTCGCCCCCCCCCCCTCCTCCAATCTACAGATCCAATATCTGGTTTCACTTATTTGCTGCTCATTGACCAGTCCTGGGTTTTGGGGTGGGAGTGGAGCAGGAAGAATTGCTGTCACCATTGCTTCATGGCTGGCTTTGTGGCTGAGGAGAAGCCATCCCATCACCCTGCCTTCTCCTGGGAAACTAAACATAGCAAGCATTTGGTGGCCAGTATTAAAAAATCCAAAATACGGAACGCTTCTGGTCCCAAGCATTTTTGGGTAAGTGAAATGCAACCTGTGCTTTTTTGCAATTGGTGGTACAAAATTACGGGCTTTCCCCCAAGTTTGCTGGCGACCTTCTTCTTGCACTGTTTTGACTGCATGAGGACTCCCACCTGTCTCTGGTCTTTGGAAAGGGAGTAATGGTAAGGGTGACAGAAGGGTGCTGACAGCTCGGCAACCAAACGTGCCCTCCTGCGACCGCACAGTCTCAGAGGAGGCATCTTTTTGATGCCATCTGCTCAAGTCTCAAGTCGATGTGCTTTTCTAGGGAGGTTTGTAACCCCTGGGTGGTGTGTGCCACTAGACCCCTGAGCAGGGGGCAACCACGTCGCCCACGAGGCCAACTCTTTTGTGGGTGGGATGCCAAAACCGGGCCAGTCACTGCGCAGGAAGTTCAGCGAAAGGTCGGTGAAACTGAGAGAGCAAAATGATGCGTTGTCAACAGGTTGAGCATTGGGACAGGAAGTGCTGTGGCTGATGAAAGAGAGAGTAGGTTGCTTTGTAGGGTCCACTTCCTCTGCCCTCCCACCCTGTGCTTCGTCAGTGGAGCTGCATCTCCTCAGGCTGTGGTGAATGAGAATCCTTCCTTATCTTACCTACTTCACCTTTACCTGTGATGTACTTTAGCCTTGTTCCTTGTTTCCTCCTCAGGCGTGAACTGACTCAACATGAGTGGCCTTGGGAACAACTCCATGGACCCGGCAAACCCGGATTCCCAGAAGAGGAAGGGGTCGCCGTGTGACACTCTGGCCCAGAGGTAAGAGGCAGGTTGCTGAGACCTTTCTTCTGCCATTCTTCTGACATCTCCTCATTCTGTGAAAGAGAACAGATTTTGTTCCCTCAGATAAATGTTAACATCCCCACAAGGCTTTTTCTTTGCATTTTGAGTAGCAACCGTGGATAAGATCTTGCCTAAATGCCCCAAAGGCACCAGATCCCTCCTAATTTTGGGAACTCAGCAGAGTCATCTCTGGTTACAACAGTGATGGGCAACCTTTTGAGCTTGGTGTGTCAAAATTTGCCAAAAACCTGACCATAACTTAGGTGGGGTGTCAACTTGGAGAAAAAATAAACGTAATTTTGCAATATTTATAGTTTAAATAAGAAAAATATATATTCCATGCTGAGTTATGGAGTGAACAATGCTGAAACATGCAGATGTTAAATTTGTAGAGCCTTTTACAAATTAAAGGATGGAATTAGATTGGCTCTTATAAGGTGTACTTCTCTGTATGCGGCCGCATGTGGCCGCGTGTCATCAAAAATAGCCATGCGTGTCAGTGCTGACACGCATATCATAGGTTCACTATCATGGGGTTACAACTTGGATAGGAGACCACCAATGAATGGCAGGTATTAATAAGTTGTATATATCAGATACATTCAATAGTTCAGTGCAGTGGAATCTGGGGACTTGTAGTTTGGTGGGACACCAACCCTCTTCAGCAAGAAAGGTTATAAAAGCCTTGTAAAACTATAATTCCCATGATTCCATAGGATTGAGCCATCGTGGTTAATGTGGGATCAAATTGCTTTCATTCTACAGTCTAGATCAGTGTTTCTCAACCTTTCTAATTAGGAGCCCCCGGTGGCGCAGTGGGTTAAACCCCTGTGCCAGTAGGACTGAAGACCGACAGGTCCAGGTTCGAATCCGGGGAGAGGCGGATGAGCTCCCTCTATCAGCTCCAGCTCCTCATGCGGGGACATGAGAGAAGCCTCCCACAAGGATGATAAAAACAGCAAATCATCCAGGCATCCCCTGGGCAACGTCCTTGCAGACGGCCAATTCTCTCACATGAGAAGCTACTTGCAGTTTCTCAAGTCGCTCTGACACTACCAAAAAAAAAACCCCTTCCTAATGCCATGACCCCTTAATACAGTTTCACAGGTTGTGGTGACCCCCAACCATAACATTATTTTTGTTGATACTTAATAACAGTAATCTTGCTCCCGTTATGAATCATAATGTAAATATCTGATATGCAGGATGCATTTTCATTCACTGGACCAAATTTGGCACAAATAACCAATACAGCCAAATCTGAATAAGTGGGATTTGGGGGCGGGGGGACATTGATTTTGTCATTTGGGAGTTGTAGTTGCTGGGATTTATAATTAGCCTACAATCAAAGGACATTCCGAACTCCACCAACGATGGAATTCAACCCGTTTTGTCACACAGAACTCCCATGTATTTTCATTCACTGGACCAAATTTAGCACAATATGTCCAAATTTGAATACTGGTGGGGTTGGGGGGGATTGATTTTGTCATTTGGGAGTTGTAGTTGCTGGGATTTATAGTTCACCTACAATCAAAGAGCATTCTGAACTCAACGATTCAATTCAACGGAATGCAAACAGAACTCCCATGAACAACAGAAATTACTGGAAGGGTTTGGTGGACAGTGACCTTGAGTTTTGGAGTTGTAGTTCACCTACATTCAGAGAGCACTGTAGATTCAAACAATGATGGATCTGGACCAAACTTGGCATGAATACTCAAATGTGAACACTGATTGAGTTTGGGGAAAATAGACCTTGACATTTGGGAGTTGTAGTTGCTGGGATTTCTAGTTCACCTACAATCAAAGAGCATTCTGAACCCCACCAACAATAGAATTGGGCCAAACTTCCCACACAGAACCCCCATGGCTTGAAGGGACTCCTGGCACGAGCCTCCCTCCAGCCTCACACACTCTCCTTCGCCCACACATGCGCACCACGCTGCCATGCGCCCAGCATGCTTGCTCTCCCCTCCCTACGAGTCTGACAAAGAGCCCTCCCTTTGGCTGAGCGGCCAGCTAATCACAGTGGAGGAGTGCTTTTGGTGGGAGGATTTGTTGTCTGTTTCCAAAAAGGAAGAGAAGGACAAGCTGAGTGATCTTCAGCCAAATGGGGTTCCTAAGACCATCAGAAATGCATGTGGAATCTATTTATTTTATTTATTTATTTACTGCATTTGTATACCGACTTTCTCAGCCAGAGGCGACTCAAGGCGGTTCACAATCGGCAGAGATTCGATACCAAAATCTGGCTACCAGTATTAAAAAAAACTCTAAAATTGCAACAGCACAACAACAGAGAGGAAGCAGGCAGGGACATCTAATTAGCTCTCAACAAAAGTTTGCCCCAGGCACAGTCAGGCCATTGTATGCTAATTAAGGTGGTCAGTTGAAACATTTTTTGTTTGGTGTTTTTCTCTTTTTTTTTCTTTTTTTGCGAGTACAGACTATGACCTACTGAGGAAGTTGCTCCTGAAGGAAGACCCTCGTGGGGCGGGGGGGGGGGCAGGCGGCTTGGTCAGTGAAACATTCACACCTAGCTCCAGCAGACAAGAGTCCTTTGTCTCACCCAGGTCATTCCACAGATATATAAACCCTTTTTCCTAGTTCCAACAGACCTCACTACCTCTGAGGATGCTTGCCATAGATGCAGGCGAAATGTCAGGAGAGAATGCCTCTAGACCATGGCCATATAGCCCGAAAAACCTACAACCCATTCCATGATTTATTTTCATCTAATTACCCTCTAGTAGTAAAAGCCTACTTGAAAAGCCATGTCTTGACCATCTTGCAGAATGTTAGAAGGGAGGGAGCTGATCTTATATCTCTGGGGAGGGCGTTCCATAGCCGAGGGGCCACCGCTGAGAAGGCCCTGTCTCTCGTCCCCGCCAAATGCATCTGCGAGGAAGGCGGGATTGAGAGCAGGGCCTCCCTAGATGATCTTAAAGTCCTAGATGGTTCATAAGGAGAGATACGTTTGGATAGGTAAGCCAGACCAGAACCGTTTAGGGAAATGTCTAGGGTGACCCCCTCTGAAACCCCCTTGTGACCCCTCCCCAGGTTGAGAAACGATGGTCTAGATGCCCTCACTGTAACCTTCTAAAAACCTCAAAGTCCCAGCTCAGAATCTTGGGAGAGAGGGAGGAAGATACCTCCAAGCTCTAGGTTGCTGTGCCATCCTTTGTGAATCTCAGAAGGAATAGGTGAGAAACAACACCAATTTTCACCCCAATCATTTGTCAAGTGGTGAAGTTAACTTTAGCACTTAAAGTTGACATCCCTGTTGATAATAGCAGAGTGGATGAAATCTGTTTCTCCTCAATTAGCCAAGCCTTCCTCTTCATTCTCTCTCTCTCTCTCTCTCGTATAAAAGGCTCCTGCTGTTTTATTCCTGTGCCTCTATCTACTCATGCGCTTTTTTGCTTTCGTAAGTGCAGATCTCAGCGAATGTCATCAATTATGCTGTTAATGTGATGAACTGACTTTCAGAACTCTGGGTCAGTACCCGCTTTGGCTTCCTGGTCCGTTTCTGATTATTACTGACCAGGACACTTTGGCATGGCAGGAGGACTAGCCAACAGGAGTCATATTCTAACAATGGGGTGGTTTGTTGTTTTTTTTACCTCTAAGGGAAATTGGATTTCTATCCTTCCACAGCTTACGTTGCCACAGCAACAGTGGCACCGAGTTGCAGCGTTTTTTAAAAAATCCCGACATGAATATCTCAGTCACTTTCCTGATCTCTCCCCACCTCTTAATCTGACCTTAACCAAAACACTCATTCCGCTCCCCTAAGTAATATTTACAAGCCTTTCAATAATCAGAGGGAAGCCATTCCTCTCAAAGCCTTCCCAGATGTGTCTTCCTTAAAATCGCCCTTGCTCACACCATGTTTCCGCTAGCTTTGATTTAGGCAGAAGGCTAAAGGGCACTGCGGGATCTTTCCTTCCAAAGAGAGCTGTATTCTTGTTGGCTGTCTTTTAAAACTCATATTGATAAGTGGAGAAGATCTTCCAGCCCATGAGTGGAGGCGCTGTGGAGTCTTTCAGGAGGAAGCAAGACTTCCTTGGGGTGGCAAAGCATCACAGGATTGCTGTCATTAGCCCTGAGGTCTTACCTACCGTATATACTCAAGTATAAGCCTTGCTCTTACCTACAAGAAGCACTGCCTGAACATCAAGCAAAAAGTGGGTGCTAGAAACAATATCATACGAAAGCTGACTGGCACAACCTGGGGATCACAACCAGATACTGTGAAGACATCTGCCCTTGCGCTGTGCTACTCTGCTGCTGAGTATGCATGCCCAGTGTGGAACACATCTCACCACACTAAACTGGATGTGGCTCTTAATGAGACATGCCGCATTATCACGGGGTGTCTGCGCCCTACACCACTGGAGAAATTACACTGCTTAGCCAGTATTGCACCACCTGACATCCGCCGGGAAGTAGCAGCCAATAGTGAAAGGACCAAGGCAGAGACATCTCCAGCTCATCCCCTGTTTGGGTATCAGCCAGCACGTCAACGACTTAAATCCTAGAATCATAGAATCAAAGAGTTGGAAGAGACCTCATGGGCCATCCAGTCCAACCCCCTGGCAAGAAGCAAGGATATTGCATTCAAATCACCCCTGACAGATGGCCATCCAGCCTCTGTTTAAAAGCTTCCAAAGAAGGAGCCTCCACCACACTCCGGGGCAGAGAGTTCCACTGCTGAACGGCTCTCACAGTCAGGAAGTTCTTCCTCATGTTCAGATGGAATCTCCTCTCTTGTAGTTTGAAGCCATTGTTCCGCGTCCTAGTCTCCAAGGAAGCAGAAAACAAGCTTGCTCCCTCCTCCCTGTGGCTTCCTCTCACATATTTATACATGGCTATAATATCTCCTCTCAGCCTTCTCTTCTTCAGGCTAAACATGCCCAGCTCCTTAAGCCGCTCCTCATAGGGCTTGTTCTCCAGACCCTTGATCATTTTAGTCGCCCGCCTCTGGACACATTCCAGCTTGTCAATATCTCTCTTGAATTGTGGTGCCCAGAATTGGACACAATATTCCAGGTGTGGTCTAACCAAAGCGGAATAGAGGGGTAGCATTACTTCCCTAGATCTAGACACTAGGCTCCTATTGATGCAGGCCAAAATCCCATTGGCTTTTTTTGCTGCCACATCACATTGTTGGCTCATGTTTAACTTGTTGTCCACGAGGACTCCAAGATCTTTTTCACACGTACTGCTCTCGAGCCAGGCATTGTCCCCCATTCTGTATCTTTGCATTTCGTTTTTCCTGCCAAAGTGAAGCCATGGATAAGTCAACCAAGATTTTTGGGGTTGATTTTTTACTACAAGTTCTAGACTTGCACATTAGACTACAGGGTAGTGTTTTTGATTCACGTATTTCCCGTTCTCTTGGGGCTCCGTGCCCCAAATCAAGCAGCTGTGGAGGGCTGACTGTATGTGTGCAGCAGCAAATGTCACGAAATTGGCGTGATGCAAGAACGGGAGATCTCTTCCCTTCTCCTCCTCAGCTGCAGACATGCAGATTTGGAGAAAGGCAACTGGATCTCATTCAGCAGCAAGGCAATCATTGCATTTTCTTTTTTAATAGTCCTCTGAGGGCATTTTTTTTTCAGAGCAGAGGAGTGAATAATTGCAGCCACATGAAACCTGTTCTCTCTTCATCTGCATAGGTTCACTGTAAGTTAGATGCTTCTTAGATTTGCTTAGAAAGCGATTGCTTTAGCGGTTTTTCCAAACAGATTGATTGCTTTTTTTCTCTTTATTTCTGGATTCACTTCTGCCTTTTAGCTTAATTTCTTGGTCTGCTGCCATCACAATTTTTCCTGATTAGCAACTTACCAATTTCTTTTTTATTGGCCTACTTACACATTGATCAGTTGAGTAGCTGCTCCACATTGATCGTTGTTAGTCTAGGGCAGGGTTTATGCAAAATGAGAGCAGCTTGAATGCAGACCAGTGAGAGAGGTCTTCTGCCATACTTCTGTGCAATACATAAAATAATATAAAAATATTGTCAAGCATTGCCCCTGGAATTTCAGGCATAGACACCAAAATGTATGTATCATCAATGTATTATAAGCACTTACTAAGATAATAATAGCCAGGGTGGAAATTGAGAAGCCAGTGACAAGGAATCAACATGCAACCTCTTCTGCAGGTCCACAGGATTTCTACCCCTGATAGTCATGAATTTGGAAATACACCTTGGCCTGAATCCCATTTGTAATGCTAATTAGGGTAGATCCATTTGATCAGGGGGATTTAATCTCTGTGTTGACTCACCATTGAATATGTCTACGTTAATTAGGACTCACCAACAGGATGCGAGGCCTTGTCAGTGGTACCAAGAGATTATTTGTTGATAAACCTAACCGTCCAAAGTTGGCATCTGTTGCTATATCTCGTAGTAGCAAACTCCAAAGTGAGTTTTACACTGAGTAGAGCTGTACTTCATTTACTAGGTGGTGGCCATGAGGTTCTCAGGTTGTGAGAGAGTCTCAAATACGTACATTTTCTGCTGAGGGTAGATTTTGAAAATTGTGTCAGAAGCGACTTGAGAAACCGCAAGTCACTTCTGGTGTGAGAGAATTGGCTGTCTACAGGGACATTGCACAGGGGACGCCTGGATGTGTTACCATCCCGTGGGAGGCATCTTGCTTGTCCCCACATGGGAAGCTGGAGCTGACATATGGGAGCTCACCCCATCTCGTCCCTGTAGAATTGGCTGTCTACAGGGACATTGCACAGGGGATGCCTGGATGTGTTACCATCCTGTGGGAGGCTTCTTGCCTGTCCTTGCATGGGAAGCTGGAGCTGACATATGGGAGCTCACCCCATCTCGTCCCTGTAGAATTGGCTGTCTACAGGGACATTGCACAGGGGATGCCTGGATGTGTTACCATCCTGTGGGAGGCTTCTTGCCTGTCCTTGCATGGGAAGCTGGAGCTGACATATGGGAGCTCACCCCATCTCGTGGATTCAAACCACTTAGAGTAGGTGTTTCCATTTAAAAAACAAAACAAAATGCTTATCCTTTGTTGTTGTTCATTCGTTCAGTCGTCTCCGACTCTTCGTGACCTCATGGACCAGCCCACGCCAGAGCTCCCTGTCGGCCGTTACCACCCCCAGCTCCCTCAAGGTCAGTCCAGTCACTTCAAGGATGCCATCCATCCATCTTGCCCTTGGTCGGCCCCTCTTCCTTTTGCCTTCCACTTTCCCCAGCATAATTGTCTTCTCTAGGCTAGTTCCTGTCTCCTCATGATGTGGCCAAAGTACTTCAACTTTGTCTCTAGTATCTTTCCCTCCAGTGAGCAGTCGGGCTTTATTTCCTGGAGGATGGACTGGTTGGATCTTCTCGCAGTCCAAGGCACTCTCAGCACTTTCCTCCAACACCACAGCTCAAAAGCATCGATCTTCCTTCGCTCGGCCTTCCCTAAGGTCCAGCTCTCACATCCGTAGTTACTACAGGGAATACCATGGCTTTGACTAGGCGGATCTTTGTTGCCAGTCTGATGTCTCTACTCTTTACTATTTTATCGAGACTGGACATTGCTCTCCTCCCAAGAAGTAAGCGTCTTCTGATTTCCTGGCCACAGTCTGCATCTGCAGTAATCTTTGCACCTAGAAATACAAAGTCTGTCACAGCCTCCACATTTTCTCCCTCTATTTTCCAGTTGTCAATCATTCTTGTTGCCATAATCTTGGTTTTTTTATGTTTAGCTGCAACCCGGCTTTTGCGCTTTCTTCTTTCACCTTGATTAGAAGGCTCCTCAGCTCCTCCTCGCTTTCGGCCATCAAAGTGGTGTCATCTGCATATCTGAGGTTGTTAATGTTTCTTCCAGCAATTTTCACCCCAGCTTTGCATTCATCCAGCCCCGCACATCGCATGATGTGTTCTGCATACAAGTTAAAAAGGTTGGGTGAGAGTATGCAGCCTTTTTTAGATCTTTTGTTATATTGTTGTGACCAGTATTTACATGATTTCACTGTGGTTACACCACGCATTAAAGTTAATACAATTTTCACAAATTTTATTTTTTATTCCTTTTTTAATTATGCCCAAAATGAAATTTGAGGTTTTCACAGATTTCTTTTTTGCATCTACTTCTAATATAGTTTATTAGGAAATGACATCAACTCTTCTTCACTCCGTTTTACAATTACCTGGTGAAGCATCCCCATTCACAATTACTTGTAGTCCCAGGGTGGAAAAACATGTACTACAGGTACCCATAGTCTGATGATATTGACAGCTGATGCCATTCATAAAGGGACAAAGCTGCAATTTGCAATAGAGCTGAACAAGGTTGAATCATGTAATCTGGAAGAGAACTGGACCCTTATCCTAGATCTCTGTCTATTAAATGTGTGAATGCATTAGAGTACAGGTAGTCATAGACTTACAGAATCCTAGAGTTACAAGAGACCGAAAGAGCGATCTAATCTAATATCCTTCTGTTATGAAGGAATACACAATGAAAGCACTCCTGACAGATGGCCAGAAAAACACCAGAAAATGAGACTCTGCTGGACTCCCAGGCAAGCATATTCCACTGTCAAACAGCTCTTATTATCAGGAAATTCTAATACTCAGATTATTTATTTATTTATTTATTTCAAAGTTTTATATACCGACCTTCTCACCTCTTTGAGGGACTCAGACCGGTTTCCAACCATAAAAACACATACAATCGGTAAAACATCATAGTTCATATTACAATAACATATTAAAACAACAAATATATTTAAAACTACAGTGGTCAGTCATCATACTAAAATCGATTATACATCATCTTCCATCCAAATCTTAGGGTGTTGTCTCATTCATTGTCTTCACCTGTCCACGTCTTCACCTGTTTCCTAAATGTCAGGATAGAAGGGCGGTTCTGACCTCCGGTGGGAGAGAGTTCCAGAGTCGCGGGGCCACCACCGAGAAGGCCCTGTCCCTCGTCCCCACCAGACGCGCTTGCGAGGCCGGTGGGACCGAGAGCAGGGCCTCTCCAGACGATCTTAATAATCTTGATGGTTCATAGGGGAGAATACGTTCGGAGAGGTAAACAGGGCCGGAGTCGTTTAGGGCTTTATAGGTTAACACCAGCACTTTGAATTGTGCTCGGAAGCTAATTGGCAGCCAGTGGAGCTGGTGTAACAGCGAAGTGGTGTGCTCCCTGTACCCAGCACCCGTTAGTAGTCTGGCTGCCGAGCGTTGGACTAGCTGCAGCTTCCGGGCAGTCTTCAGAGGCAACCCCACGTAGAGAGCGTTGCAGTAGTCTAAACGGGATGTAACTAGACCAGATCAAATCCCTTCTCCTTTAATGTGAATACGGTGCTCCGTGTCCTCGTTCTGAAGCATCAGAAAGCATGCTTGCTTCATCTGCGCCGACTTGTTTTGGTCTGTGGTTGGTTTGAATTCTGGATTATTTCAAGTCCGTCATCATGCCTAGGCTTTGATTAAGAAAAGCTGCAGTAACTAAGAATTGGTTTTCTGTAACAGCAATGAGAAACGGCGCCGGGAGCAAGAGAACAAATACCTAGAAGAACTCGCAGACTTGCTTTCCGCCAATATTGGAGAGATCGACAGCTTGAGCGTCAAACCCGACAAATGCAAGATCCTGAAGAAGACCGTCGATCAGATCCAGCAGATGAAAAGACTTGAGCAAGGTAAGCTTTTAAGGCCCTCTTGTCTGTTCTTGCTGCTTCCTGTGACCTGTTAAAATATATTCTAAACCAGAGGAAGTTAAATGGGGCTAAAGATGCCCCTCCAGCCACCTGTTCCATTTGCTGCCTTACTTATCAACATTTGGCTAAAACTGCTTTTTCCTCCTCTTCCTTGTGTCTCTTCCTTCTTATCCTCATGCGTCTCCTCTTTATATGCTGCTGATGCATTCATGAGCATGTGTTGTACATAGCAACATCATCCTTTAAGTAGGTCTGCAATGGCTTTCGGCCTGCTGTGAATGCAAGAAACAGCTCCAGTGAAACTTTTGTTCTATCTTTGGAAAACCTCATCCTCTGTCCTTCCCATTTCCACTGGGAACAAGTCACAACTGGTCCAAAATTGTGTTTCATAGAAGGTTGTGGTGGTCCTTTTTTGGAGGGCTGAGTTCTAAGGAACAGGTTCCTCATTTCGTTCACTGTGATCCATAATTCCAACCTGATTGTACATACAAAGGTAGTTTTGCATTGTTTGGATGGAAATTTCCCTGCTTGTGGTTTTGAGAGGAGACTTGATATGTTCTTAAGTAGCCTCCTTCTAATCTCATTGCTGATTTAATGTCTTAATCCCAGCTGCTCACATATTATTTATTTATTTACAGTATTTATATTCCGCCCTTCTCGCCCCCAGGGAACCCAGGGTGGATTACAATGCTCATATACATAACAGAGAAAGGATTCCCCGAAGTACACAGTCAAGAGACCACTATAAACAATAATATAATCCTACAACTCCCAGAAATCCCAGTCAGTTTATCAGCTGTTAAGGATTTCTGGGAGTTGAAACATTTCTGGATTTCTGGGAGTTGAGCCAAAACATCTGGAGACACACAGGTTGAGAACCACTGCTCCAGAACAACTCCTATATTTCTCACCACTAGACATCATGACAAGAGCTGATGGGAGTTGGGATGTGTGACTGCATTTCTGTGTACGAACCCACATGATTGGTGGGGACAAGGGAGAGGGCTTTCTCGGTGGTGGCCCCCCAACTCTGGAGATTACTCCCCAAGGACATCAGGCATGCCCCGACCCTGGCAGTCTTTAGGAGGAGCCTGAAAACGTGGTTGTTCTAGTGTGCCTTCCCAGAATAAGGAAAACTCTCAGGAATATGCCCTCTAAATGCACTTTACTACTGATTTAGGACTGACTGCATTTCCTCATCTTTCCTTGAAAGCCCTATACCAGTCATATCCTACCTTGTTCATGCCCAGCATTATTTTTTAAATTGTAAACTATTACATTTGGCCCAGCCATAAGTTTTTAAATGCTTGTGTTACTGTTTACTGTTTATTGTTTATGTGATTTATATTAATTGTATTGTATTTATTGTTTTCATTTTTGCTTTTATTTTTGATCTCCTGTGGGCTTGGCCTCATGTAAGCCGCACCGAGTCCCTTGGGGAGATGGTGGCGGGGTATAAATAAAGTTATTATTATTATTATTATTATTATTATTATTATTATTATTATTATACAGGAACATCCAAAAGGCTACATTTGGTCTGTTTAGGCAAGAGAGTGGGGTTTGAATTTAAATACAAAGCTTGTGGATGTGATGCCTGGTTTTAAAATGTCCTTTAGCTTTTCCCCAATCTCAGAGCCACAAGTGCTGTTGGGTTGCAATTCCCATTATCCCCTGTTTGCATGGCAGATAACTAAAAGGAGTGCTTCAATAATATTTAGGGACCCAAATTGGGTAAAAACTAGAGCGCCAATCATTATGTTAAAAATTATTTGTCGTATTATTGAATTCAGTGGCCATTTGAAGGCAACTATAAGGTTGATGTGGACCTTGGTGAAAATGAGCTTGACACCCATCATATTGTAACAATGTTTTTTTAAACTCTGCCCTGCATGCACCATGTGTTTATGTATGGCATGTGAGAATTGTGTGCCCTCCAGATGTTAGACATCCTTGGTACTTGCTGTGCTGGCTAGGACTTTTGGGAGCTGCAGTTCACCAACATCTAGAGGGAGGGCCGTTTCAGTTCTCTTGTTCCCAGTGTTCATTCAGACTGGAGATAATAACACTATGAAGTGCCATGGGAATCATTGCAGTGACAATTTGCTTCTGGCCAGGCTTCTTAGCTGAAAATGAGATACATGCTGTTAGACTTATGGTTTACAGCATCACATTCTTATCTACTGGGCTGCAACCAGTTTCATCCAATCATTTCCAGAGGGTGTTTTGTGCCAACTGGCTCCCCATGTATGAAGCGGTCCAGGTTTTAAGGCATTTCCCTTTGTGCTGCCAGCATCACAGGTGCATATGTCACTACAGCAACATGGAAGACTTCCCATTGCCTTCAGGACGGGGGGGGGGGGGGGGGGGGGTGGGGGCAGGGAGGGCGGGGGGGGGGGGGGGGGGAGGGACCCTTCTACGCTGCCATAGAAAATTCTTATTATCTGCTTTGAACTGGATTATATGGCAGTTTAGACTGATATAATTCAGTTCAAAGCAGATAATGTGGATTTTCTGCTTTGATAACCTGGATTATATGGCAGTGTAGAAGGGGTCTCTGTGTATGCTCTCTGGATTTATGTAATTACCATCTAGTTAATGGCTGAAGCAGCCCTACTTTGGCCTCCACTTGCCCTTGATCTTTAGACAGGCCATTGGCTGTTAACTGTTCATTGCAGAAGTTTCTTTTTATGGGAAGGGGCGCTGTATGTTTATCTTGATTTGTGGTTTCTGTTGTTGGGTTGTTGTAGGTTTTTTCAGGCTATATGGCCATGTTCTAGAGGCATTCTCTCCTGACGTTTCGCCTGCATCTATGGCAAGCATCCTCAGAGGTTGTGAGGTCTCACAACTCTGAGGATGCTTGCCATAGATGCAGGCGAAACGTCAGGAGAAAATGCCTCTAGAACATGGCGCTATATCCCGAAAAACCTACAACCCAGTGATTCCGGCCATGAAAGCCTTCAACAATACGTTGCTGCTGCTTTGTGTGTTGTTGTTATTATTATTATTATATTTTTACCCTGCTTTTCTCCCTGGATTGAAATCCAAGGTAGCTCACAACTTTAAAATTATGCAATGTAAAAACCTACATATTTATATACATTAAAAATAATGATTTCAGTTATTAAAGCTCAAACCTCTGCACTACACTATCTTTTTATTGTAATTACTATGTTGTAAATGAAGAAAGTAATGACACGAACAGTCCTATAAAAATGCTAATTTAAAACAGTTTTTTAAAACATAGTAATTAATTATCTTAATGACTATACTTTAAACATGTTTTAAAACTATTTTAGTAAATATCTTTTCCAGGACTGTTTATTTAATTATTTTCTACTTTAGCATTATGAATTCAGTCTCTCTTTTTGTATTATCTATTTGTCTAATTCAATGAATCAAACCAATCAGTAAGATTTATTTCTGTATTTATTTTTCATGAATAAAATGTATTTAAATGGGTAAATAAATGAGCCTTTGCATTGTTTGCAAGACCGTTCACACAGAGTCTGATGGCAAAGGTGAAGAGGAACGTTCCTGATTGTAGGAATAATATTATTTATTTATTTATTTAATTTAATTTTACCCAGCGTTTCTCACCTGAGGGGAGTCAAAGTGGCTTATAGCTCCAGCAAGAATTCAACTCCAGTAAAACTCAACAATAAACAGTAAAAACATTTCCCACAGTTAAAACGATTAGCAGTTAATCAATAAAACACATAAAACAGTATACCATTTATATATAAAAATACCATATAATGTGCATAGTTTCATTCATCTGATAACTTTGCTCAATCCTTAATTCAGACCGTGTCTAAACCCATAGTAACTCATTCTTTGAACAGTTGTGTGCAAAGCCAAGTCTTTAGCTTTTTTCTGAAAACTAGAAGGAAATGAAGCCTGCCATTCGTAGAAACATAAAGCTAGAAGAGTCTCTAAGGGATCATCTAGGCTATCTCGATCTGGGCCAACGGCTCTCAACTTGTGGTCCAGGGACCACCGGTGGTCCACAAGGACTAAAATATGGTCTGCGGCCTCACCGTTACTACACCATTACAACGAGAGTGACTGCTCTTCCAAAATCCTCTTATAGTGCCAAGGCTTATTAAATATGGTTTTCTGTGGATGAGCAGATGGCAATTACTAGGTGGCATATATTCTGTATCAGAAACTAGAGCTGATGTGGTCTATCCAATGCAGTTTTGTGAATCAACACGCCAAATAACCAAACTGAATCTAAAGTTGACCAAAAACTGATTCATAACTTCTTTGGTACTAATGTTGGAGAGTGGTCCCTGGTCAAAGTGGTCACTGGTCAAGTGGTCCCTAGTCAAAAGATTGAGAACCATTGATCTAGACACTGTCATTCCATTTATGCAGCCTAGAATCATATTGGCTTTTTAGCTGCCACATCACCATGTTGATTCATGTTCAGCTTCTTGTCCACTAAGATTCCAAGATCCCTTATGCATGAATCCCTTTCAAGCCAGGTGTCACCCATCCTATATCTGTGCCTAAGTGTGGTATTCTTCCCTTCTCCCTATTGAAATTCATTTTGTTGGCTTTGACCCAGCTCTCACATCTGTCAAGGTAATTCTGAATCCTGATCATGTCATCTGGGGCATTAGCTCTCCCAATTTGGTGTCACCTGCAACAGCTTGCCTTCTGTTCCATCATCCAAGTCCTTGATAAAGATGATGAATAGCACTAGACCCAGGACAGAACTTTATGGCACCCAAAATGTAACTTCTTTCCAGGATGAGGAGCAGCATCCATTGGGTTCAACCAGTCAACCAATTCCCAATCCACCTAACCATCTCATTGTCTAGCCCACGTTTATTAGCTTCTTTAAAATGTCAATCAGTTCTTACTGTCAGAAGTACTTCCTTGTGTTTAGCCAGAGTATCCTTGTTGTAACTTGGATTTCTACCCTCTCCTATCTTTGGTGTGAAAGCCCAGCAGATATTAAAAGATGGCCATAT